AATAAAAAAACTTTTGCCTTTTCTTGACAATCCTACTCTTCTCCTTCTTGTTACTTCGTTAGTCTTATCTAGGATTGATTATTGTAACTCGCTCTACTATGGTCTTCCTGACTCTATACTCTATCCTTTAAGTAAAGCTTTTAACTCTGCTGCTCGTCTAGTTGCTCGTGCCCCTTTCTCTTCTCATATATCTCCATATCTTGTTCTCTTGCACTGGCTACCTATAAAATATAGAATAATTTTTAAAATTTGCACGTTCATGTATAAGTCTCAATCTAAATTATTTCCTAAGTATTTATCTGATATATTAATTGAACCTAAACGCCCCGGTTTAAGATCGTCTTCTTCTTCTCGCTTTTTCTTAACTCGTGTTAAACACTCTTTTGCCAAATCTGCTTTTGCTTTTTCTGGTCCTTTTCTCTGGAACTCTCTACCTCCTTCTCTGACTACTTCATCACTTGCGAAGTTCAGAGCGGATCTCAAGGCCCATCTGTTTTCAAAACTCATTGAGGAGCGCTGTTGAACATCGCGGAAATAGCGCTTTATAAGCTAATTGATTGATTGATTGATTGATCCGTTACAAACTCTTAAAACTTAAATTAACTTTTAAATTATTGCATTTGTGGTTTTTAGTCGATCTCCATGTCAACTTTACGTTCATGTGTTCTGTTCCCAGCCTGATTTGAGAAATTAGAGTCGCATTATTTCACTAATTTGCTCTTCAAATTGTTTCTTATTTTTGTGTCATGTAATAAGGTTGTTATTAATTTTCGAAGTAGGTGAATCATGTCAATAATTGTAAAATCTTTGCGAGAACTTTGCCAGAAAAATGTTTCTGCATTTTTGCTCCTGAATAACCTCCGAACAGTCGAAAATCTCCGTCGATTAAACCGAAACAACTTGTCGATTATAAACCGGTTAAGATCCACTTTAGGACAGTCTTTTGTACTGGTTCAGGATGGGATTGAAATAACCGAACTTCCTTGGGTGGTGAAACGCCTGGGTCCCTCTGAATTTATGTTGAATGGAAAGTTCAACGTTGAGAATGCCCCGTACGATTCTAACGAGTTGAGACTGCACGATGATCATGACCTGGCCTTTGCTCGCATGCTTCAGGAGTGTAACAGTGTTAAACAGGTTTTTCAATTTTTTATAACAAGTTATAGTTTTTTCAAATATTTTATGTCAATTTGATAAACAATTCCGTTAAAACCTTTTCAACAAAGCTAAAAAAAGCAATATTTTATTATTCCAACAAAAACATTCATAAGAAATTTTTTGCCTAATTTGTAATTTCATCTTATGAGTAAGATTTGTCTTATAAAAACAGGTGTTCCAGCTATTAGAGGTTCCAGGGGAAACGGTGACATCCCAGTCGGCCGCATTTGCACTCTGCAGGATCTGCTCCCTGAAGAACAAGGGTGGCACGGAGGACATAGATTCCTTCATCAGGAAGGCCATCCTCAATGAATTGTGTGATACTGTTGTGAAGGATATCAAGCACCTGCCTAATCAGACACTGATCTCTCTTGTCAGGTTCGTATTGTTTGTTCTTACGTTGGTTTTCCTGTTTTGGTTTTAAATTAAGATAATGTTCTAAATACGTAACATAGATAGAGGTTATAGCATAATTTAAATGTGAAAAATTTGATTAGTAAAACTAAAAAGTTCTTTTACCCGTATAAAAGTTGAAGTTTAATGCTTCATTTTTGATTGTCCAAACAAAAAATGCTGATTATGTTAGAATTGTAAAATTTTTTAGACGTTTCTCATAGCAAACTCAAAAAATTTTAATTTCCAACTCAACATATCGAAATATTGGTTAAGTCTAACAATTTATCATTTGACAATCACAAAATCGCATTCCTCAGATGCTGTGTAAGTGTGAACAATTATGAACAGTCGTTCATCGAAAGTGTTAACGAGGAAGTAGAACGAAGGATTGGTTCATCAACGTTCACAGTTAGTGACCTCTGTGAACTGATCACGTGCATGTCTGAAAGTGTTCGTAGCGATGTGAACACCCTGAAAATGTGCTGGATTCATCTTGGAATGAAGTTTAATGACATTAATGAGAAAAATATTGTGGAGGTTTTCCAGGTTTGTTGTGGATTGCCCTATTTTCTGAAATTAAAAGTTAAACTAGATAATTATTTTTTATAATTTTTCAATGTTTTGTATCATTACAGGTTTTGAGAAACATAACGCCAGAGTTTCGCTACATGCTCAGACTGGCTGACAAGCAACTTCAAACTTGTTGGTGGAAGTTAGTTGCAAAGGACATTTCATCGATCTGCAAGAACCTCTGCCTGTTAAATTTCTACAGTGGTCGAACCCTATCATCCTTTGGCAAGTGGATGTATGCAAATGTTCACACACTAGACGACGATTCAATGAAACACATTCTAGGGATGTACTCCCATTTTAATTATTCCGATTCAAATGTCATCACGTCTCTGGAAAAGTTCATCAGTGCATTCTCTCGTCGAACAGCTCGTGGAAAAAACCCACCAGATTTGTTGAACAGAGTTTTAATGTCTATGGCGGCCAATTTCTGTAAGCGAAGAAGGCTCATCTCAACCTCCATCTTGGATTCCATTGCAGCTGATTTTACACTGGTGCATCAGTCTGGCTATGATTTGAGAGAAGGTGCTACAATTGTTACAAAATTAAAATTAAATTTTAATTATTCCGATTCAAATGTCATCACGTCTCTGGAAAAGTTAATTTGCTATTGGCTATATATATATATAGCCAATAGCAATTGGCTATGATTTGAGAGAAGGTGCTAATATGTGCTAATTTTATATTACTTTCATGATAAATTGTAAGGTAATTATGTTGATTTCATTGCTATTTGGATGTTACATTTTATGATATATGTCTACATTTTTATAATTTTTGTTTTAAAAATTCTATGTTAGGTTCCATGTTTTTTATGGTAATTATTTGTTTTAATTTAACTTCATCTTTGAAACAATCTACTTAGGCCTATCAGTATTGAAATCGTTTGGTCAGCTCGGCTACATCCCTTCTTCGACATCGTCGTCCGAATTTTTCTCGGCGGCCGAGCACTGGACCCAGCAGAAACTGAATAGAATTCCTTTTAGTGATTTACTAGAGTTGCTGGCTTCGTTTGTCTACATAGAAAGATTTCCTGTAAATTTTGTTGACCGAGTTCTTAACGCTCGTGTGCCTTATATGTTTAATGGTTGGTTGGCTGGTCGATTGATGGATTGATCGATTTGTGGTTGGTTGGTTAGTTGGTTGGTTGATTGATCGATTGATTGGTTGGTTAGTTGATTGAAGCATTGACATTTTTTCCAAATAAGTTTGTAAAGTAAGATTAATTTAAAAATTCCCCAAAACCTAAAAATAGAAATAAAAGATCCAATAGTCAGACAGAGAGCCTGCAGACATTTGCTCGAGATTCAGGCTTCGTATTTGTTGGAGTTCCCGACGAGAAGATATCTATCATTATTTGAGAAGGATGCTCTCAAGATATCGCTAACTTGGATGGGTTGGTTGGGCTGATTGGTTGGTGTGTCTTGGAGATTTTATAATTGGCCATTTGAATAACGTGATAGAGTTTTTTGATTGGTCGGTCGGTTGATGTTAAATGGTGAATTTTGACTGGTTCATGACATTTGAATGTAGAATTTTGATTGGTTGGTTAATGATCTTTGCATATGATATTTTGACTGGCTGATGGTACTTGTGTGTAGAATTTTGACTGAATCTAATTAATTGTTATTTAATTAGTTAAAAAAATTACAAAAATAATTTTTGTAATATTTCATTCCTAATAGATGGAAGGCTGTATAAATTTCACAAGGATGTTGGTGCACTGTTAAAGGATTTGCTGGTATCAGATATTGCTAACGAGTGTCAAATACCTAGGAATACCCCCCACCTGATTAGTAAGTAAGACATGGTGCATTATGCGATGCCATATTTGTACCAAACCATATTGTATTTCATATCTTTATTATATTATGATATTTTGTATAATAATTTTATTCTTTATTATTATTATTGTTGTTGTTGTTGTTGTTATTATTATTTTTATTTTTGTTACCAAAGATTATGAGTTGATGATAGATGCCCATGAGAACGTCGCTGGCAGGGATTCATTTGCTAGAACTGGGGATGGAAGGTTTATTTTATTATTATTATTATTATTATTATTATTATTAGTAGTAGTAGTAGTAGTAAGTATAGTAAGATAGCAGTATGGCTGATTGGTTGTTAATTATTTGGTTGATTGATTGATCGATTGGTTGATTGATTGACTGAATGGATGATCCGTTGATTGATTGATTGGTTGGTTGATAGATCAATTAATAAATTGGTTCAATCATCCATTCATAATTACTGATATTATTATTATATTATATATAATTTTTAATCATAATTTTTTTAAATTTTCTCAAAATCTAGAGTCGCTCTATTGCTAATGATGCCAGAATGTTATTCAAATGGCTGGGTTCTTATGGGTGAATTTAGCATGAAGAGGAGGCATTTGGTTAAACTGGGTTACGCCGTTGTTATGGTTATTATTTTTTATTATTGTTACTGTTTTTTGGCTAATTGGTTAGTTAATTGATTGGTTGATCGATTGGTTGATTGATTGGTTGATTGATTGATTGATAAGTTTTGTTAATTTTTTTGGTTGGTTTGTATTATTTTGTTGTAGGCATATATTTTTATAAATTAAGCGTTTTAATTTAAAATTTTCGATTTTATTTAATTTTTTTTTTCAAAATTTTTAGGTGCAGTACGAGCTATTTTCATGGAAGAACAGATCCACAACTGAAAAAATTAACTATTTAAAATCACTACTAACTCCTTACGTTAAGTTAAAATAATAATTATTACTTAAATTAATTGGTTAGTGTTATTTATATTTAAGCTGTTGTTTAATTATATGTCATATAGGTGTCTTGTACATTTTGACTGAATGTATATTTCGTGTGTGTGTGCGTGTGTATGTATGTGTGCGTGCGTGTATTATACACACTTCAACAATCATTTAGTAATTTCCAAAGTAATTTCTTGCCTTTTTGGAAAAAATATTTGGAATTTTTTGCAATTAAATTTTCAATACACGTGAGTTTGATTGATTGAATCTCCCGTGCTAAAATTAACATAAAATGTTTGGCCATTGCCCTCTGCTCTCAGGACAAAATTATGATTCTTTTCGTATGGTAATGGCGTTTCAAATCGTATTTAAAGCTTACTTGAATGCTTTTTTTATCAAATGTCCCATACAAGTTGTATTTTAATTAGTTTATATCCATATTTTAAATTTTAATTTTTTCCTTTATTGAATAAAATAAAAAGGATTTTATTCACGATGTTTATGTGTAATTGGTTTGATCGTTCAAGTGGTAGGTGAAATTTTTCTTACATTATTTCAATTATTAAAGATCTAAATTATTACTTGCCATCGCTATTTTGATTGAATTAACTTTTAAATTTGAAAATAGGATTTACAATTAAGCATTCTTCTTTGTAATAAAGAAATCTATTGTACTTATTTATATTTTCCGGTAACCAATTCACTAATTTGGGTCACGAAATGTCGTTAAAAGTTTCCAAAAGTCAGTTCCACACAAATGGTCTCTTGTTCGTTGGCTTCAACCAAGATTATGGTAAAAAAATATTTTTTTTTACTTAATTTTTTCCAAAAGTTTTTTTCTTTATTTATTATTGGGGAGGCGTGTGTTAATTAAATTAATTAATCAGTTAGTGAATTTTCGATTTAGTACGAATGCTTGTAAGTACTTTTGGTAGTTGAATAAATACTTTTGATGTATTTTAATTTAAAGTTGGGTTGGTTGACAATGAAAATATTTTTTTTACCTTTTTTAAGATTAACATTAATTAATTTTTAGTTAAAAAACCGGGCTTAAAAGTGAATTAAACAGTAATACCACAAATTTTATGATGGAAATATGAAGGCCAATGTTTATTTCATTTATTTTATTTAATCTTACTTAGATTATTTGAGATATTAATTTATTTATATTCTTAAAAAAAAATCTTATCTAGAGTTAAATTTTTATTATAAAAGGTTGTTTTACATGTGGCATGGAAAATGGCTTCAGAATTTTCAATAGTGATCCCTTGAAAGAAAAAGAAAAACAAGGTTTCTTATTATCACTTATTTAATTTTCTAAATATTTTTTCATAATTCATTTTTAATTATTTTTCAGACATATTGACAAACAACAACAAACACATAATCTATGTAGATCAATACACACACACACACAAATATCAATGCATCAGGCTCTTTAACCTGTGAATAAATTAGATGAAGTCTTGTCAATAATAATTATGACAATATTATTATTTAATAATAATATAAAATAATTAATAAAATTATATTTTTCAAACAGATTTTGAGGACGGGGGCATAGGGCACGTAGAGATGTTGTTTAGGTGTAATTATCTTGCCCTCGTAGGGGGCGGTAGAAAACCCAAGTTCCCCCCAAATAAAGGTTTTTGATTGGTTGATATATTATAAAATTGTATATTATAATATAATAATGCATTATAATATTGTTTGTGATATAAATTGATATTAACTGTGATATAGAGCTATAGTTCAATTCTTTGTATTTACTGACTAACTTCTGTGTGTGTGTGTGTGTGTGTGTGTGTGTGTGTGTGTGTGTATTTGACCTGACCTTGATCTTTGACCTCTATGACCTACAACAGTCTACATATGGGATGATTTAAAGAAGAGGCATGTCATTGAGTTGGAGTTTTCAAGTGAAGTTAAATCTGTTAAGCTCAGAAGGGATAGGTTATGATTATGATGATGATGGTGGTGGTGATGATGGTCTTGATGATAATGATGATAATCTCGGTGGATTTATAGTAAAATTTATGATTGTTGTTTTTTCATGCTCTTGGATACTATTCTATCAATCAATCATTCAGCTAACTAATGAATCCTTATTTTACTCAACTTATCAATCAACCAACCAACCTCCACCCGACCAACCAATAGGATCGTAGTAGTCCTCGAGACGATGATCAAGGTTTATTCCTTCACGCAAAATCCACAGCTCCTTCACGTTTTTGAAACGTGCCCCAATCCGAACGGCCTGTGCGTTCTATGCCCTAATAGTAGCAATTCACTTTTAGCATTTCCGGGTCCGAAAATGGGTCAGGTTCAGATCGTTGACCTTGCTGATGCGGAAAAATGCCCACTTGAGATTAATGCGCACGAGACCCATATCACGTGCATCTGTTTGAATATGCAGGGGACTAAGATTGCTACTGCTTCTGAGAAGGTGGAGCGTGTGTGTGATTGATTGTTTGCTTGTGTGGTGTGTAGGCGCGCGCGCGTGTGTGTGTGTGTGTGTTGCTGTTTCATTTTTCAATCATCTACTAACATTTTTGTTCACTCACTTTTCAACAAATTCATTCATTCACTCATACTCTACTCACATTCATTCCTTCATTTGTTCATTCATTGCTGTGTGCAGTGATAATGTTGTTTGACACATTCACTTACATTGTAATCAATACTTTTACGCTCGTCCATCCATTCATTCATTCACTCATCCATCCATTCATTCATTAATTCACTCACGCATTCATTTATTCATTCACGCATTCATTCACGCATTCACTGTAGGGCACATTGATAAGGTTGTTTGATACAATGACAGGCAGCATGTTGCAGGAGCTTAGGAGAGGCGCTAACCAGGCTAACATTTTCTGGTTGGTTGGGTTATGGTTAGACGTCATCATCATCACCATAAATGACGTCATCACTATCATCATCACCATAAATGACGTCATCACTATCATCATCACCATAAATGACGTCATCACTATCATCATCACCATAAATGACGTCATCACTATCACCATCACCATAAATGACGTCATTATCACCATCATCTTTTTTTTTCGTCGTCGTTGTCGTCATCATCAACGTCATTGTGGCTCTTTTCGTTATCTTCATTATCATCGTTATCTGCTCTACTATCGTTATCCTCACAGTTTGCTCTAATATTTTAAAATATCTACCATTTAAAACATTAAAGTTCCCAGCTACACACACACACGTACACACACACACACAAAACACGCACGCACAACAGCATTGCCTTCAACCACGATTCGTCATTGGTGTGCGTAGCGAGTGACCACAACACTGTCCATCTCTTTTCACTGGACGATAATAGGCACCAGAACAAACAATCGTCGCTGGCCTCCGCCCCATTTCTGCCGAAATATTTCAGCTCTACGTGGAGTTTTGCTAAATTTAGCGTTCCCGGGAATTCCAAGTTCATCTGCGCTTTCAGTTCCTACAGCAATGGTATTTCCAATACTATTAATAGCTCGGCCTTGAATCAGGCCGGGACCAATTATGTTCAAGGTTAGATTAGAATGTTGGTTTGTTTGTTTGTGTTTGCTGGTTGGTTGGTTTGTCTGTTTTTTTTTGTGGCAATTGGTTGCTTTGTGGCAGGTTTTGTTGGCAGCATTTAATTATGTGAGCGTTTGTTTAATAGTGTACTTTCAAACAAATACATACTGCACACACACTAATAAACAAACACACAAACATGCATACACAAACAAACACACAAACAAACAAACAAACACACAAACATACACACACAAACACACAAACATACACACACAAACATACACACACAAACAAACAAACACACAAACATACACACACAAACAAACAAACACACAAACATACACACACAAACAAACAAACACACAAACAAACAAACACACAAACATACACACACAAACACACAAACATACACACACAAACAAACAAACACACAAACAAACAAACACACAAACATACACACACAAACAAACAAACACACAAACATACACACACAAACAAACAAACACACAAACATACACACACAAACAAACAAACACACAAACATACAGTTATCTGTGCTGACGGAAGTTACTACAAGTTCAGCATCTCAGCCAAAGGCGAATGCACCAGAGAACTTTACTCACATTTCCTTGAAACCAATGAGTGAAAGATTTAATGGATTGTTGATTGGTTTAGTGAATAAATGAATGGATAAAGTAGTGAATGAATGCATGGATGAATTAGTTAATGAGTTTATGCATGAACAGATGAGTGAATTAATGAATGAATGAAACACTCGTTTGAATGAATGGATAATTAACCGAACTTGTGCACTCATTCACTTGAATGAATAAACGAACCACTGAACAAACGAACGAATGAAGCATAACATCTGTACATAAATATAACCGACTTTTATTAATTAATTAATTATCTATATCTGTCAATATCTACCATACTTTTTTGTCCTTGCTGATGTCATATTTGAAATTTATTGTTTTAATGTCATTATTTAGATCTATTATATTATTTTGCTGTTATTTTCATTATTATTATTGATGAATATTTATTACTAAAGCTAGTATTATTATTACTAATAATTAGTGTTTGTGTGTTATATGATGAACTATTTAACAAACCATATTATTTTTTGTGTTTTATTCGTTTATTTAATCATTTTTTTATTCACTCGTTCATTCATTAAATCAATCAATTAATTTATCAATCAATCAATCAATCGATTAGTCAATGAACGAAACGTTATACAAGTCAACCAATCAACTTTCTCAACCATTCTGTCGTTCAAATTACAAACTAAACTGACTGAAAATCAATGAATCAGTCAATCTATCAATCATTCATTCAATCGATCAGTCAATCAATTTTTTCAAATCCTTTGGTTGATCGGTTAACCTATGCTGACACACACGCACACATATGTATGTGTGTGTATACATGGTTACACATAGACGTAACTGTATGTATAGTTTTCTTTATATAAAAATGCGACACACCAACGGATTAACATTGTTCTTCTGTTGTCCTTAATTATACAATTATGACGCTAACTCTATTCATAATAATTATAATTAAGTATAACAATTAATGTTATATTAATAAAAGAATAACACATTTTTTGTATTAATTAAACTAACATGCCCACGTAATGACCTTGAGTATTTATAATTAGTTATAATAAAATAACACTTTTTGTATTATGAATTGTTGGTAAAACACGACCCATTATGTAGTAAGTATTGAATAGCACTTTTCTGTGTAAATAATTATCGTCATAATAATAAAATATCAATTTTTTTTAATTATTAATAATATAATCATAACATTATTAAGAATTTAGTTGAAATTCTAGAGTGAACAATTTTATTATCCAAATCAAAAGCAATTAATATAAAATTTAACTTGAATATCAAAGAGATATAAAAAATAAGAGAGTTAAACAATTAGTTAAATTGTAAATTAATTAATCAATTAACTAATTGATTGATCAATTAATAATGCTGATTAATAAAAATCAAATAATATAAATTAAAAATGGAAAATTATTTCATTTCTTCGCCGCTACGATGCCTTCAAGTTGCATCTGTGTTTTTAAAAGAACGCGTACAATAATAATATTATATTTAACAATTATATTAATAATAATAATATATATAAATAATATTACAATTTTTTCGAGTTATTGTAACCAGACATGGTTCCATGTGACCAGAGAAAGTTTCAATAATTGGTGATGGGTTATCAGGCAGATAAGAATATACAATAGTAGTAGTGACAATTAGGATAAATTCATCAACAGTAACAACACAAATAATGAAAAAAATAAATGGAATGAAATTCACTTTTAGTTGTTGGGTAGTTTTCTTGAGAAATTGAATTTCCTCGGCATGCTTCTTCTCATCAACTGACCTCTGCTCTATGGCCTTCTTCTCCGATTGGTCAATTCTGACCTTCAGTTCGTTGACCTGCCTTTCAAGGTCACGCTTGTCCGATTCAAGGTCAACTATCTGTGAGTTTCGGTATTTAAAGAATAAAATTGAAAAGAGTAAAGATAAAATTGTAAAGAGAAATGGTACCACCACCTTCACGAATCATGGTCTTATGCAATTAGGTGCAATATTAACCTATATGTTTTTTATGCACATACAACAATAACTATAATTATAGTCAATTATAACCATAATTACAGATAATTGTAATTATAATTATAGATAATTATAATCATAATTATAGAAAATTGTAATATAACTATAATATAAATATACATATGTACCTGTTTTTCTAGATCAGCTTTTCCCTGATCAGCCTGTAATGCTTTCCTCATGCCAAATGCTATGCTACTCTCGTACAATGTTTGGTAAGCAGCTATGGTCATCCTCAACTCGTCGCGCATCCTGACCAGCAGCAACCCGCGTTCGGCACAGTTTATTGTTACTTGCCGAATTATTTCATCTTGGATTTTGGGGGTTGTTTGTTGTTTATTTATGAATGAGATTATACATTTTTGCTTTTTGGGTTTGTGGTGTTAGTTGCAGGGGTGAATTGAGAAATTTATTAATAAAACTAGAAAGAAAGAAAGTAGAGAGAAAAAGAGAAAGATTAGTAAAAGTAAGGAAAAAAAACAAAAACTCCTGAACTAAAATACTAGAGAGACCAAGCAAAAACACATTACTGAAAATTCTTAAACAAGATACCAAACACATCTCTAAAAGATAAAAATCCTAAATCAAAGTGCATATCTAACCAAAGCACTGTGAGTAGAGTTCTCTCCTTACGGGACAAATGCCAGTTTCCCTGGCCTGCCTCTGAAGAAGTCGATTGTCAAGTTCTGTCTGCAGATTGATGACTTCCAGACGAGTTGCTGGCACGCTACTGGCCGCCATCATCCATAATGTGTTGTTCTCATCTTTGAATTTTCTTTTCAAGAAAGATTTTTAAACATTTCAAGAATGTTTTAAAAAAAGACGAAAAACAAAAAAAACAAACATAGGTGGCAGGATGGAGTTGAGAACTTCAACAGTTGCCTCATGGGAGGTATCATCAATGGTGGAGATGTGGGTGGTCTGAGGTTTAGTGCACAAATCTGGCAGACGATTTTGTCCTTGTTGATGAAACGCATCCTGAAAAGAAAATCATTTGCCATTTTTAATAAAAACACAAAATATTGGACAAATATAAATTAGCATCCCTAGATCACCTCTGCTCTCTAAAAGTCTAAAGAAACTATCTAAGCACTAACTTTGGAATCGACATTTTTAGTAGCAAGACGAGGGTTATCATACTTCACTAACGTCGTATATGTCGGAATCATTTTTAATTTAATTAATTTAATAACTTAATTTCATAAAAAAAAGCAATTTAGCCACAAAAATTTAACAGGCACAACCGTTCCGCCCAAATTTCAAAACGCCCTGTTCCATTTTAAAATCTGGCAAAGAAACAGTACAAAATAACTTTTTTCTAATAGCCTTAAGCAAAAGTTAATTTTATAAATAAATGAATTAATTAATTAAACTGACAAATAACTTGATTTATTAATTATATATAACAAAATAAATACATTTAAAAACTTTATTATTTCAATTTAAACGCGCCCGATCGTTATTGTTCAGCAATAAGGATGTTTATACACACATGCATACGTATAAAAGTAAAAAAATTTCTCACTAAACGCAAATTAAATTTTTATGGCGATTAGGCACTGGGGATTACTAATTGACGGTGATGATGACGTCGTCGTAAAATTATTTACATTATTATTAAATTAAAGCAAGTTTTTTAATTTATTTAATTAATTAAATTAAAATTTGTTTAAATTTTTAATTAAATTTGAAAAGTCAATATTAGATTTATTTAAAATTTAATTTAATAAATTTTTATTCAATTAAATATTAAAATCTTGAAATATGTTTATTAAAATTTCAGAATAATTTCTCTAATTTGTTTATTTTATTTGTTATTGCTTGTGTAATTATGATTTAACATTTAATTATTATAATATATATATATATTAATATAAATTTTAAATTAAAGATATATAAAAATAAGTAAATATTGAATAAAATAAATAAATGAAATAATTTATAATATGTTATTTGAAATACAAAAATTTTGAAAAAGATTTTAAAATTCGGGCATCATAAAACAAAAAACATAAATTAATATTAATTATTAAATAGAAGGAAATAGGTAACATAATATTATAATTTGTTATTTTTGAACATTTTACTAATAATTTAAAAATTTCAGATTTTATTTATTTTGTATATTAAAAATGTGTACAAATAATTAAATGTATTCACATATGATCTCTCATTTAAATTATTCAATTTTTTTCTTCTTGGCAGAGGCCCAAAGGCATATACAACAGCAACTAAAATTTTAATTGTTTTTCTAATTTAACTTTTCTTTTTCCTGGTAATAATAATAATAATAACAATAATAATTAGTGATAAGATGTAATATCAACACCAAAGTTTAAGTTAAAAGCCATTCTCTCTTTCAAGCTCTTTCAGTGAAACAAACAGACTGAGCCGGTGAAAACCAGGCATCACACATATTGCAAGAGATAGGAGGGGATCTCTTGTATTCCAACCCAGTCACTGCAAGAGCAAGACCATCCCTAAAATGATATCTATATATAGATAACCAACCACCATTGTAATTGTAGTAGTAGTAGTAGTAGTAGTAATAATAATAGTAATAAAAACACTACTATTACTATAATAATAATAATAATAATAAAATACTGGTAGAAGTTCATTCAAATAAATTACGTAAACTTATTTAAATTTTATGGTGTTTATGAAAATTTTTTCATCTGATTATTTTTATATATCTAGTGATTATTTCTTATTGGAATTGTGATTATGGTTGAGTGTGCGTGTGTGTATGCGTGTTTGTGCGTGCGTGTGTGTATGTGTGTATGCGTGTGTGCGCATTTATGTGATATAAGCTGCTTCATAATTTATGTGTGTGTGTATGGTGTATGTGTGTGTGTGTGTGTGAGTGTGAATATGTAAATATTGCTAGAATTTTGTATTTCCCCGTTTGTGTGTGTTTGTTTGTGAGTGTGTGTTTGTTTGTGTGTGTGTGTGTGTGCGTGCGTGCGTGCGTGCGTGTGCGTGCGTGTGTGTGATATAAATAGCAGTAGTAGAATCTTCCATTGAGTTCAGTTCAGTTGTATCAAATTTCACGTGATTCTACTACAGTTACTTCTTAGCTCTTACCAGTCATTTGAATGACCAAATGAATGAATGAATGAGTGAGTGAGTGAGAGAGTAAGTAAGTAAAAGAGTCACATCACGCTCATATATCTACTAACCAGGCTATGATACAAAATGAATGGATAAATGAATGAAAGATTGAGGAATGTTTCATCAAAATAACTGCACAGAATATTTCTCAATTTTAAGTTCATCATTTACTTAATAAACCTTTGTGTGGATATATTTATGTTGGTTATGCACACACGCACACGTACATACACTTTACACACACACACACACACACACACACACACACACACACACACACACACATACTTAAAGTTGTGTGTTTGTTGTACGTTGTATTTATATATTGAACGTATATAAAGTTGGTTTGAATGCTTGATTATATGTATGTGTTGTGTATATGTGTGTACATTTGTGTGTCTGTAATTGTGTATGTTGTAGATTTGTATGTTTAATCCCTAAAACAAGTTTGTTAGTATTTCTGTGTGTTTGTGTGTATTTGTGTGCTTTGATAGGTTGCATATTGTCTTGTTTAAAAATACTTTGATTGGTTGACTGACTGATTAGTTGATAGATTGATTGATTAGTTGGTTGATTGTTTGATTGATTGATAGATTGATTGATTGAATAATTGATTGAGAACTTACAACAAATGTTCTTGAAACATGCTTATGGCTATCTGCCCACTTTCTTTACTTATTCATTGTTTAAACACATGTGGTTTACTTGTCTGTGTGTCTGTGTGTGTGTATGCATATATGAATGTATGTGTGTGTATGTTTGCATGTATGTATGTGTGTGTGTATGCATGTATGAATGTATGTGTGTGTGTATGTATGCATGTATGCCTGTGTGTATGTTTATATGTAATGTGTGTATGTGTATGTATGTTATTTATAGCTCAAACTTGTAGGCCACATAACACCTCAGAACAATGAAACTATATATATGTGCTCATTAACACTAGGATGTTATGATTTATCTCATATAAAATCACACATGCACTGGCCACATACATACATACATACATACATACATACATACATACATACATACATCATGTTTTGGTTTTAACATACATACATACATACACACACACACACATACATACGTATATATATACATACATATATTTGTCATATCATTTTTACATACATATATACACACACACATACATACATACGTACATACAAACTTCTTGATTTTGATCTTTGCTCTTCCTTTGCATTTTTTCACTCCATCAATCTTTATGATTAATCATCATAAACGTTTGTGTTGCTTGGCTTTTTTGTTGTGCTCTGTTCATGCATTCGTTTGTTCACTCATTTGTTCATTCATTCGTTCATTAATTTATTCGTTCATTTATTCATTCATTCATTCCTGCATTAATTCATTCATTAAGCTTGCATTTTGTGATGATAATGATGACGATGGTGGTGGTGGTTCTCTATCTTTGTCATTTTGTTTAGAGTTTTTATTATATATATATGTTATTGCTGATTTTATTATAATAATAATAATTATTATTATTATTATTATTATTAAATAATTCTTTTTATTATTATTATCGTTGTTTTGAAATGTTTCTTGAGGGTGTTCTTAGAACTCTGACTTGTTGTTGTTTGGGTTTTCTTTTAGAATTGTTTTAAATTTTCTGCAAGCCCTTGTCTAATGCTCCGCATTTCAAGATTCATTCTTTTTTTTTTTTGGAGCGACGGATCGTAGTTTGTTTAAGTGCATTTCTTGTCTTTCTTTCTCCTCTCTCTGGAGAGAGAGAGAGAGAGAGACAGACAGACAGATTAAAGGTCATTGTTATTTTTGTTTGTATACAAATCTTGGCTTCATTATATATAACAATCCGTATTACTTATTGAGGCACTTTGTATATAACTTCATGTCAATTGATGTGTGTATGTACGTTTGTGTGTGTGTGTGTGTGTGTGTGTGTGTAGTTCTTTTTGTTTACCCATGTTGTGCCTTAATGTCTGGACACTAGAAGCATCAAAGTTAGTCTGAAGTACTGTGGTTGGTTTATGTATATAGTTTCACTCGTTCATTTTTCCACCTCCATTCATTCGTTCTATTATCCGTGTAGCTAATTGTTTATTTATTTATTCATTTGTTCATTAATTCATTCATTCATTCGTTCGTTCACTCATTCATATTTTTTGGCATGCCTGCACACATGCATGCGCTTGCTTCCTTCATATCAGCTTCTCCACATCAATCGGAACATAAAATATAATCCTGATTACATCAGTGCTTCGGGGGAGGGGTTAAGTTCCCGTCGTCGTCGTCATCGTCGCCGCCACCATCACCACAGCCGTTATCGTCATGCAACGATATTATTATGACTCTTCATGTGGCGTAAGATATGCGTCACACTTCTATCATAACAAATGACAGTTGGTATTGTACGCACACACACACGCACGTACACACATATATACACGTACACACACACATATATACACGTACACACACACACTTATATATATATATATATATATATATATATATATACATAAACAAACAAACAAGGTGAGGTTTGTATGTGTATCATAAAATTGTCATTTGAAACATCTGCATACATGTTTGTTTGCATGCTTGTTCTGTGTTTGTTTGTGTGCGGTCGTGTGTGTGTGTGCTTGTATGTGTGTGTGGTAAGCTATTTTATTATTATTATTATTAGTAGTAGTAGTAGTAGTAGTAGTAACGGTAGTATTAGTTTTGTGGTTATTATCAGTGTTACAATTTCTATGGATAATGGAAAGAATGGATGAGATTAAATGAATAAATAAATGAATGAATGAGCGAACGAACGAACGAACGAATGAATGAATGAGTGATATGCTATCTATCTATCTCTCTATCTATTCTCTTTTTCTATAATGTTTGCAAATAAATATATGCTAAAATAATTGCATGGTGCAAAATTGAGTAAAATACTAAATAGGTAGATGCATGGCTATGGTTCATAATAATAATAATAATAATAATAATAATAATAATAATAATAATGTTAATGCTTGCCTGCTTGCTTGCATGTAAATAGATATGAGACGGCAAGTTATAATGGTTGACGGTGAATGGATAAATGAATGGTTGGATTTATAGATGAATGGATGGATAGATAGGTGGGTGAATTTATGGTTAAATGGATGAATGAATGAACGAATGAATGACTGACTGACCTTCTGAATGAATAAGTGAATGGATGTGGGAATTGTCGGATGAATTAATGAATGGTTGGATGGACTAATAGATTTTTATCATATTGGAAAACATTCATTTTTGTGTTTTACTGAAATACTTCATGTGGTTTAAACATTTTCCATTGCAGCTCTTTGAACATTATTGTCTCTACCTGACTACTACTACTGGACTACTACTACTACTGCAATTACTACTACTACTACTACTGCAACTATCATCTCATCAGCATCATCACCAACAACGAAACTAAGCAACAACAACAACAACGTTTCAGATAACAACAACGACAACCACCAAACTAACCAAAGACCATCTACGATGATTAAACTTCGCAACAACTCCACCAGCAGCAGCAGCAGCAGCAACAACAACAACAACATGTTCATCAATACAAACACGACGACGACCACAACATCAACGCCGACAACTACAAAAACTTCGTCGTCGGCGGCGCCAAAAAATGAAATTAAACGCATATCATCTGAATGCTCTGCATCTAAATTGAAAGAAGGTGCCAGGAGGTCACTAATCATTTTTCCAATTGATGATAAACATTGTTTTAATTTTGTTGATGCCACTACTACTACTACTACTACTACTACTACTACTACTACTGCTGCTGTTGCTGCTGCTACGACTGCAGCTGCGAGCAGTGATAAGCACGGAAGACGTCACGTTGATGATAATAGTGGTAAAGATTTCAAGGTTTGTATGAATTAATATAGTATTGTTGCGATCATCATTATCATCATCATCATCATTATCATCATCAGTGACGTCATCGAGATAATCACCACCGGTGACGTCATCATCATCGTCATCATTTTTTTTTCTTTCACTTTATTTTACCTGTGTTTGCCTGTCTTTCTAATGTAGTACTTGCATTGAGTGATGTGGCTATGATGATGATGATCATTATGAAGATGATGATGGTGATGGTCTCAATATTGTTGTCGATGATGATGATGTCGATGTTGATGATGATGATGTTGCTGATGATGATGTTGTTGTTGATGATGTTGTTGATGAGGGTGGTGATGATGATACAGATTAATTATTTTTTTTAACAAGATGATGACTCCTTAAGGGAATAATTAAACCATGGCAAACAAAGACTAGATTTTATACGGAGAAAAAGAGAGAGAGAGAGAGAAAGAGAGAGAGAGAAAGAGAGAGAGAAAATCGAAGGAGAGAAGGGGAGAGAGAGAGAAATATTTTATAATAAATGATGTAATGATGATGATGTCCATGATGCAGTAATAATATCAGTAGTGATTTTGGTGATGATTATGATGATGGTGATGATAATAGTGATGTAAATTGGGATGATGATGATGATGAGGAGGAAGAGGAGCATGATGATGACGATGTTTAACAGAACACTGAATAAATACATTGATTTTTTTATGCAGCTTTTTTATATACACTTCATAATAATGATGATGAAATGATGATGATGACGCTGATAGTGATGATGAAAACACGGAATGATGATGATGATGATAATGATAATGATGATGACGGATATAAAGTCTTTTGGGTAATGATAGAATTGCCATGGAACTCAAATTCTACACAATTTTCAATATCTGTTGCATGGCATGAACATGCAGTATAGATAGACAGACCGGTATATGGATGGATGTAATTATGGAGATGATGATGATGATGATGGTGATGATGTTGATGATGATGATTATTGTTCATTTTGTTGTTGTTTTTACTGTGTTTTTTTCTGATTGCGTTATTAACTACGTTCCTTCGTTGAACTATAACCACAATAAAAACAATAATAATTAATAATAATAATAATAGTAATAATAATAAAAATTTCACATCATCATCATCATCATTGACAATCCCCACCATTAACCTCGAGAAGTGCATTGCTACTACTACTAAGGATAAATAAGATCCCTATGTTATGTTTATTTACTACGTATGCATGTGTGTGTACGTGTGTGTGTGTGTGCATGTGCGTACATGTGTGTACGTGTGTGTGTGTGCGTGCATGTGTGTTTTTGTATACGTATAAATTGGGGAATTGCTTTGTTTACCTTTCTGTTCATTTGATTGATTAGGTTTCATTTCAGCTGTTTTTTTCTACTCTTTCATTTTATTGTATGGTTTAGGCCCCAAAACCCACAACAACAACAACAATAACAATAATAACCATAAATAACCATAATAATAATAATAACAATAGTAATAACTTCAAAATTTTCACCAAACAGACATGCAGGAATTCAATGACGTTCGTATCGGCGGCAAGCACATCCACCACAGCTGCAGCAGTTGCAGCAGCTGCAGCGACGTCATCGTTGACGTCATCGAAATCCAAAGACACCACAAAACACTACCAACACCATAGAAGCAGCAAAATTTATAATTCCGAACTTTCCTATATGGCCGATGAAAGTCATGAAAAAAGCGTGAATAAAAATTTTGACCAAAATGTTGACAAAGGTGAGAATAGAAGTTTTGGGATTAGCCTGGACAAAAGTTTCGACAAAAACATGGAAAAAACTGTGGATGGCAAGGATTCTTATCCAAATACTGACGTCACAGACGGCAAGTGTGTGGATAGGAAGGATTGCAAATCAGAATCAGGGACATGTTCGTATTATAAGAGGGGCTCATTCAGATCGTCTTTAATTTCAAACGCGTCATCAACAACATCCACGTCATCTGGACTGAAATTAAGAAGCTTGGTCTCTAAAAACGCTCCAGAAGCTGCCAGCAGCAGCAACAACAACAACAACAGCAACAACACTAACAACAACAACAGCAGCAACAAAGTATGCAAGAGATTAGATGAATGTGCACATTTCCATTATGAGACTGTTGATTTGAAGACTATTGAGGTGAATTTTGAAAGGATTATGTTTGTATTTGTTTGTGTTGTTGTTGTTGCGTTTTGTTGTTGTTTGTTGTTGTGTTGTTATAGAGAGAAAGAGAGAGAAAGAGAGAGAGAGAGAGGGGGGGAGAGAGAGAGGAGCTACACAGAATTAGATTGTGGAGAGAGAATACATAAGATGGAATAGATACAAAACTTTTACTTAAATTTAATAACTACATGCATGTATGTACATATCTATTTGTATGTGTGTTTTTCTGTCTGTCTGTCTGTCTCTCTGTCTGTCTGTCTATCTATCTTTTTTTCTATCCGCCTGTCTGTCTGTATATATCCAGCCATTCAAACAAAAGCTGATACAGATATCAACATCATAAATTGCATTTTAAGCCAAATAAGATTTGTTCCAATGTAGCATTAAATCTCCCTCTCTCTCACCCCCTTTCTCTTTTTCAATTGTTTTCCTCCCCTCTCCTTTTCTTTTCTTTTTTTATTTCTCTCTCTCTCTCTCCAGATAAATAGATAGATAGATAGGTAGATAAATTGATAAAGAAAAAGAGTTTGTTTGAAAGATTTGAACGAATGAAAAATAAAGGAATGGATGAATGGATGAATAAATAGAAAGAGAGAGAGAGAGAAAGAGAAAGAGGAGAGAGAGAGAAAGAGAAAGAGGAGAGAGAGAGAGAAGAGAGAGAGAAATAATATCCAGTTTTGTCTGGTGATGTTATTATGTTTTATGTTCATCACTTTATATTGTTATGTCAATGCAGTCCGGCCATTTATAAAATTTTATGATGCTTTCTACATGCTTTTATGCATCCATGCATCTCTGTCTCTCTCTCCCTCTCTCTTTCGCTTTTTCTCTCTCGCAGTCGTTTTGTACTCATCCAATTTTATTGATCAGTCTATCTTTATCATTACTCATCTCTTCATTGCTTTTCGTTTTATCTCCTCACTACGTCCTTTCATTCATCCGTTTGTTCATTCATTCATTTTGTTTTCACGAATTTTTACATTTATTCATTTGCTCATTTGTTGGTTGGTTGGTTGGTTGGTTGGTTCGTTCATTCATTCATTCATTCATTCATTCATTCATTCATTCATTCATTCATTCATTCATTCATTCAGTTAACATTTTTTATTTTTTTTCATTCACTCATTCACTTGCCTAGCCAATCATTCATTGTCATCAGTCCATCATTTTTTTTTCAAGGATGTCTTTGCTAATTCATTCTTCTTTCCTTTATTTATTGGTAGTTTCACTTCCATCAATCATTTTTCTTTTTTTTTCTCTCTCTCTTTCCCTTTTTTTCTCTTTTCCTCTCTCTCTCTTCTCACATATTCTTTGGTTTTCTTTATTTCAAAAACACTATCAATCCATCATTCATCAATCTAACTCCACTTATTTTTCCTGGTTTTTATTAAATTTGCTCGTTCGTTCGATCAATCAATCATCCGTTCGTTCAATTATTCATTCATTTTTTAATTAATTAATTCATTCATTACATTTCATCCGTAATTAATTCATGTATCTTTTCACTCATCCCTTAGATCATTCATCCATTTAGTTATCCATTCGTTCATCTATCAATCTGTTAATTAGTTTAGTCGTTTAAACATTTTGTCATTCATTCATTCATTCATTCATTCATTCATTCATTCATTCAGTTATCCCTAGCAGAGGACAATTTTGATGACCCATCGTCTGAGAAGTGGCTGATGATTGAAGTTACCTCAAAAGGAGATAAGCACTGGACAATTAGGAAAAGTTATCAGGTTTGTTGATTGGTCAATCAATCATTCAATCAATCATTCATTCATTCGTTCGTTCGTTCGTTCATTCATTTATTCATTTGTCTATTTATTCGTTTGTCCATTCATTTGTCCATTTTGTTAATTTCAATTCCTCAATCAATAAATCGATCTATCAATCCATCGCCCGATAATTCGTTCCATTCCAATCAGCCAACCAACCAAACGATCAACCTACTAACCAATCAACCAACCTACCAACCAATCGATCAATCAATCAACTAATCAATCAATCAATCAATTAACCAATCAATCACTCAATCAATCAATCAATCAATCGATCAATCAATCGATCAATCAACAAACCAATCAATCAATCAACCAATCAGAGTTTGCACAAGATGGACGAGCAGCTTCATAGTTGCATCTTCAAGCGGAAGTTCAGCATGCTTCCGGAACTGTCACATGACCTGGTTGAAGAACAAGGACCCATTGTTAGTTTGTGTGTGTATGTGTGTGTGTATGTATGTGTGTGTGTGTGTGTGTGTGTG